GGGACACATAATTGACGCATATGACACAGCAATACTCTTGGCTGGTTTAGCTTCTTCAGATTGATGCTAGCCGGTGGCCAAGCAATCTAGTCGACCAATGGCAGGCCAACCACGGCTATACGTTTTATCTTGATTTTGAGCGGAATACAAAAGTTTTTAATGATGTTGCAACGAAGGGTGTGTCACTGATTGAAATCTTCGCAGGCTTGTAGATGGTGACAAGTAGCAGCTGCAGTGTCTTCTGCACGAGGTGGAAGCCCACCGGCAGAGGAAGGGACCTTTTCACTGATAACGCTTTTAATAAGCGTACACCGGGCATACTTCGATGCATAACGACGCATATTGCGTGTTCCTGGCAATTTTACAATAGAGCAACGATGTGACATCGGGGTCTGTGAAGCATTCAGTTTCATTTCGCATGGCTTCACATCTTTTCTCTTGGTCAAGGTCAAACAGAGGGTAAGAATGTCGAAGTGAGGTGAGATTGGCTTAAAGAGAGGTCAAATGTGCTCATGTCGCATGAATATACGCACCATTGAGCCCCGTTCGTTGCTAGAATTCATTTGGCACCTATCTCGACCGGAATTTAACATATTACTAACATGCTTAGCCTACCATACCTTTCCAAAAATGTTATTCTTTGGATGCCGCACCGCTCGTAACCTCCCATTGGCTCCCTGTCGCCCTGTTTCTACATTTAAGAACAGATGCGTGGGCTTGTCGGTAGATTGCTGCGCTTTCCCATGTCGTCATGATGACTTCTGATATTTTTATTGGAATTGAGCCGCACAGAGAATCCTGATTCGGCAAACTCGCGATCAAAATCTTCACTCTGCAACACGCTGCAGGCCGTGAACCTTTCGAGAGATGTGTATAGTTGTGCGACTGGCCAACCCTCGCGACACATGCGTGCACCGGTTCTGTTGCCACGGATACCTTGCTGTTGCCCAGTGACGTGCGTGGACGGAGAGCGAATGGGACGGCAATGTTTCATACCGCATGCATGGCTTAATGATAGGCAGGCGCGGCAGAGCGATAAGTTTTTGTTTGTCGTTAATGTACCAACTCCCGTTCATTTCAACACGCTTCAGCACTCTGGTCTAGTTGTTTCCATTTGGTTGCTTTGTCCTGGCTTACTTTTCCCTGATATTCACGCTGAGACGCCAAATCCACTTAAAATGGTATTTACGTATACCCTGAAACGCCTTCTTGTAATGTGTGTCCACGCATGTCATAGCCGCGCTTTTTAGCGTAGCCCACGCAATTTGTATACAAAAAGCGGCGTCCCAGCCCAGTATAAACCCGATAAGCGCGATCTAATTGTGTATACACACGGACGTCCCATTGGTACATGCGTAAAAAAAATAATGGCACTCACTATCATGTTGGGCAAATGTACGACTTTTCATCATCATAACATTTCTCACGACTTTTGCGGTTGGTGTAATGTCTTAATGGACAAAATTGGCATCGCGCTTATCAAGAAACAACCTCCAGCGTCAGCTACCATCAGCATAGCTTTGCCCTTCCGCGCGAAGAGAGACTTTTGCCATCCCAGGGTTGGGTGGCAACGGACTGAATTACGGACGTTATTTCCGTGCGGCCCAGGGATGGCACAAAGCCTCTCTCTCCCATTCCCATCTCTCACACAAGGTGGAGCTTGTCTAGAATTTCGCACGCCGTACGCTCTTTATCGTCTTTTACCATTGATTTTTTGGGATTTTATGTCTGCACACGAGGTCTTTCGTTCACCAGGTAAATTTAACAACCTAGCTCAAAGGGAGACTTAGGAATTTTACGTTATCCTAGAGAAAGCTTCTGACGCACGCCTACCCCAGGACTTGCCATAACCGGTTAGTTTTGCGCCTGTCCCCTTTGGCAAACTTTGTACGATCTTGTGTCACACGAATACTTTTCGATAAGTAGACCACCCTGTAGAAGACATCACGGTTAAAATTTCCTTTATCCATTCCACTCGGTAATAACGAAACTGTGCTCATACCCACCTGCCATCGATTACTTATAAGCTGTAGTCACCTGTCACCCACCTGTTCACGTTTATCCAGCCATTTAATGCTCAGTTGCGGGAAAGTTTCAAGATGCTTTAACCAGAATTCACTCTTTTTTACGCTTAAAATTACAAACAATATTGAAAACTTAGCTGGTCATGGCTTAAAGAAGCACAAGTAGTATCATTTGTAGTATTTCTCAAGCATCTATCCGACGTGTTACAAACATCATATCCATGCTCACATCCATAGCCGTAATTTTCCCAAAATCTAGACTCAACTCAGCCTGTTACCCATTGCATGTGGGTATTCCTGTGCTTACCCCACTACTGAAGTCCTATCCGGCCCTGTGTATCGGTCTGCCCAGACTACTCTACGCCACGGGCATGACCTGACGCCAATACCGTACCTCCAAAGAGGGGTCAAATGAACCTAGCAACGTGAACAGCATGAACTCGTATATTTCACGGTATAAAATCATAAGCGATACGAGCATAGTCATGCCAATAATGCCACCGGTATCATATTTCATAGCTTGCTTTCCAACACGCGTGCTTTACCTGCTGTTACCCGCGTGACATCTATTGCCCGTCGTTGTCAAGCAAATATTCGAACGCGCGTGGAGCGTTGCTATAAGGCCTTCAGACCTCTGTGCCGGTCATACACATCACCCCAGCCCCCTTGAAGCTATCTGACCTTCCCTTCTTGGGGAGAACACTTCACACCACCAACGGCGAACTTTCAAGGGATTAGCTCTTTCTTGTACTCTTCGACATTTGTTGGATCAGACGCGTTCAATTTGATCTGTTATGTCTATTTTCACGAAATGCTTACGGCTAGCCCAAAATTTCGGTTTGAAGCAGCATATCCGGCGGGAGGAAATTCTCTGGACTCCCTATTCACCATCACGAGAGTAATAATCTGAATTTGCCTGCTTTTCCCAACGTTTGTGCTCTGTAATGTATGCACAACGCTAATTCGAAAAAAATACCTGCGTAATGAATGCTAAAAGGGTTGGATCCCTCCGCTCAAGAGGAAACATAACAAACGTAACATTATTATCACGCGAAATCAACAAAACGTCGCGCTTCGGCCTTGGTTTTGCACCTGTGGCGTTTAACCAGACGCTCTTTTCGAAGCGCACTTTGGCTTTGGGAAGCCCTAGATATACCAATGCACTTCTCAGCAAATGGCCGGCGCCATCCCGACCCTGATAACGCCGGAAACTCAGCTGATCCAAAGGTCGTCTCAAGAACTGATCTCGGCGGCGGCCATCGCGTCGCTTGCGCCGTGCGTGCGGCCAGGGACGCATCGGCGGAAAAAAAATCCAAGGTCACCGAAGGCCACCGCCGCCGCCGCCGTTCACCCTGGTCGAAAGCAAGTGTCGCCCAACCGGCGGCCGCATCTGGGATCTTAATAAAGTCTACCATCTTGTGAATAAACGTCACTGAGGAAAACATTTTAGTAACAGCTGATAGGCGTACACAATGCGTGGACGAATGCAATCAGGGTGTACGGCTGTCCTACTAAAGAGCCGGCCGACGCGTGCATCTCCTGCACGACGTATCCGGCGGGAGAATCGGGCTCGACCATATCCTCCAAATCGGAATCAGAACTAGGCAGGGCTGCAAACATTTTCAGTTTAAAGAACGTGTCATGAACAGCGGTTTATTTCATTTCCACCGAGTACATGTTTGGAAATGGTACAGCATGTCGATGCTCTGCAGTGACAGGTTGTGACAGCATTTTCATTACGTGGAACGCCACTAGACTCATCGAGCTAAAATTTTATCTAAATTGCGTTTAAGGTGACACAATATATTTTTTTTTTAAATTGAATTGTTTACATTCACCTCCTGAGTGCTCATGTAGGGGTGATCCGATCTGGTGGTTCCGTCGGCCTTGATATGCCGCCCCCGCCACTGCCCCATCTTGCAATTGTTTTACTCATACATGACAGACTCGTAGACCACCATGCCTAGTATACTGGAAAATTTATGTTCAGTCCCCCAAGAATGAGCATTCTCACGCAGCGTGAAGACCAACGAATGTTACATTGCTGCTTTCAATCACCTTGTCCTTCCGCCACTGAAGTCAAACTTTCCCGTAGTGCAGAAGCTGAGAGTGTTCCATATTTGTACCAGATTTATGTACTGAAAGTTATCTTGAAGATCATTTAGTACCGCTCAAAGCCCTGCCCCTCTGGAGACCAAAATGTCTCTTACTTCTGAGCTGCACCCCCGCCAAGATGTGCAGACTATTTTGTGCAGAGTACTTCAAGGTTACTACGACATTCATGATGTCATAACTCATTTAAGTACTGCCACTCGACTGTCTATGCGATGTTCAAGGTAAAACAGATATTATCACCAAGCCGTTCATATCTGGGGCTCGTAAGCACGATTTTCAGCTATAACGGTCGTCAATTGGCTCCCAATCAGTGTTAAGCAAGATGTACATGTTTCTAACACGAATTATATTTTATGCTACACCATACAAGACGTTCTAGCTTCGTCCCGGTTACTGAGGAAATAATAACATAATGGGACAACTTAGGAATAGCGTTAAAACCGAACATGTGGGCGCAAATAAATGTCTTAAACTCAAGGAAAAATGTCAGAACCCCGACGGGGAGGGGCCGAAACACGCGCACATCACGATAGTTGGCTCACAGAACACTTTCAGCCCATATTGCGATCTCTCAGGAGATTGAAAAACCACAAGGGAACGCTGTCATACAAACTTTCCATGACGCAATAAAACAATCACATATTGAGCAGAATTACAAAATATAGAAATTTTGCTTGTCTAAGCGGCATTTTCCACTTCAAAGTGTACCAATACTTGTAAGTGAAATGATTTCGTGTCATCTAATGCTAATGCTCACATCTAATGCTACATTCAATATCTTAAAATGGCGAGCATTCCATGTAAGGCTCGGGGCAACTAGGTCCAGCTAATTTGATCAGCGTCCCTCTGGGCGTGGACCCGTCGTTGGACTGACACTGCTGCGAGGTCATTACTGACCCTAGTCGTCACTGGCTCTCAGTTCCACCTTCAAATGCAGTTTCTTGCCCTCAGGCGCGGTGATAAACGTCTTCTTGTCAAGCGGAAGGGGAGGTGGAGGCGTCTTCTCCGTCGGCAGCAGCGTGCCCTTTCGGAGCAGTGTCGCCAGCGCCACCTTCGCCTCGAACAGTGCAAACCGCATGGCGATACAGTTACGCGGTCCGACACCGAACGGTATGTAGGCGCACGGGTGACGCTTCTCCTTCTCCTCGGGCAGGAAGCGGTCCGGGTCGAAGCGCAGCGGATCCGGGTAGTGGTCCGGGTCACGGTGGAGCACGAATACCGGTATCTGCACCAGCGTGCCCTTGGGCAGGTGGACGTTCGTACCGGGCAGAGTGTAGTCCTTGGTCGATAAGCGCTCGATCCGCGTGGCTGGTGGGTACATGCGCAGCGTCTCGGACAGCACCCGGTCCATGTAGGACATCTCCATCACGGCGTCGTACGTCAGCTGACCGCCGTGGTTGGTTACAACATCGTCCACCTCCTGCTGCGCCTGACGCTGCACCTCGGGACTGGTGGCCAGGCAGTAAGCAGCGAACGTCAATAGCGTGGCCGTCGTGTCGTACCCGGCGAAGAAGAAGAGCACCGACTGACTGACAATGCTGGTGGTGCTGAGCACGCGATTGCCGTCCTTGTCCTTGGTGTCCAGTAGCAGCTGCAGGAAGTCTCGCAGGGACGTTGGGTGCTTCTCCCGATGAGCGATGGTTGTGTTGATGACGTCTCCGAAAAACTGATACACTTCCTTGTCCGGGTTAGGGATTTTTGAAGCAATTGAGCGCGGGATGGTTAACATTGCAATGCTACGGAGCATTCCAAGCATCCCAGGACTGAACAACTTTGCGGCGTTCGTTGCAAATTTAGTGTTCGGGTCAACGAAAGAGTTGCAGTTAACGCCGAAGGCGCAGGAGGCGATGTTGTCCATAGTATATCGCCCGAATGCGTCCTTCATCTCCACCTCCCCCTTCTCCTGCATGTCTTCCAGCACATACTTGTTCAGGTTGGTAGCGTTGTCTAGCGTCAGCTGGTGCATGGCCTTCATCTTGCTGGCGGAGAACGTGGGCGACATGACGGCTCGTGTGCTCTTCCACAGTTCCCCGTTGACGGCGCTCAGAGCTCCCTTCATATCTTCTAATTCGCCAAAGTCTCGTCGGTCGGAGAAGTACTCGAAGTCCTTGATACTGATGGCCCGGATCAGGTCAGGGTCGCCGACGAAGAGCACCGGCCGGTTCATCTCCATGTAGCCGCAGTACTTCTTGCCGCCGTGCTCGCTGTAGAGCCACTGCTCGAACTCGACCATCGGCGCCATGAACGGCATCCCATACTCGTTTCCCCAGGGCAGTGTAGCCTTCGGCCCAGGCACGCCGCGTGAGGGCCAGAAGTCGAAGTCTTTGGTGTACCTAAAGTAGGCGTACACGAGGGTGACCACCAGAACCGCAAGCGGAATCGGTGACAGCAGCCAGCGGGCCACCGCCAGCGGCACCGACAGCAGCCAGCCCAACATGGCGCTGCCTCACTGACGCACTCTCACTCACAGGTCTGCCAGCCGGCCGCACACCTGCAGCCGGGTCAGCTGCTTCCGGCGGTTGTCAAGGGTAGCGCGCTATCCCCGCTTCCTCGCACTTCGTGCTATAGCAGCAGCAACCACACCCGCCCGCCGCGCATCCCGCGCTGGACAGCTGACGACGCGCGCAGATATTGCGAGAGGTGCAGCGACCTTGGACCAGGCGCGGATCCAGAATCTCCGCGGGGGGGGGGGAGATTTCTTTAGCAACGTCTCTGTACAGTGAAGCTCCTTACCAGCGAACATAGCCCCCACATCAGCAGCGTAGCTCTGCAAGTTGCCGGTGTGGAGCTGAGCACTGTAAAATGTCGCAGCCTTCCCCAGAATAGCCAAAACATGACTTCATCCCGTTTATTTATTCCGGTACCTATAAAACGCCACTGTTGGAGAAAATCTACTGCCAGGTAGCCAAATCAGAGGAATTTTCTTACTGAACCGCCACGTCCGCGAAATACCAGGCGTTAAAAAACATTCGCTGATACGGGTGCGCGATGGGGTGGCAGCCAAGGCCACCAAGGCCTATAATGAAAGCGTAATAGCGCAGTGGCATCGTAGTAATGTGACTTCAAAGGCTTTCTCGCCTATCACGTTCAATAATGGTGAGGAACACCGAAGAGAGCACAGACAAAATAGCAGTGAGCCATTTGCGTTACTGTTCGAGTGTATCTGTAGGGAGGCTGATCAGAATGAATGTACGACTCCCACCTCAAAAGCACACCTCCAAACGGACGCGTTTTTCTGGTGATTTGCCTTCTTTCTCAGCAAATTTCGGAAGGCTTGAGCCTAAGTATAGGAGCCCTCTAGTGAATAGGGAACTACGCGAATGCAACATCAGGTCGTTAGCTTATTGCGTGCATACTCAGTGCACATGGACATGGCGGGTACATCGAAAGAGAGAACGCAGGTGATAAATGACCAGCTCGTCCTGATATGCCGTTTTTTTTTGTAAAGCGTAATGCTAGCTGGGGGCGATGAGACCCGCTACCCCTTTGCCGTTTCCAAACTAGGAAAGATAAAGTCTAGCAAAAAGCACCTGTGGGTTCATCTTAGCAAGATCTTGCGATTGGTACTACTTTTCTTGCTGTTCGATTGATATTTGAAACCATTATGTCACGCCAAAGGTCAAATTTTCCGGAATATCGAACTTGTTCAGGTTTACATGCTCATCTTTTCTGTATCATGCCTTGAAGTGACACGAAACTTAAACAGACGCGTTTTACGCGCAGTTGTGAGTATAATGATGTGTAGCTTTTGTATTTTAGGATCCATTTTTTAAGTAAAGTTCCGTTAATGTAACAGTGTAGACCCGAGGTGCGCAGCCCGCGGGGCCGTCGATTGCCGCCCACCGCCTGCACCGGCCGTGGGTTGCCGCCCACCGCCCGCACCGGCCGTAGGTTGCCGCCCACCGCCCGCACCGGCCGTGGGTTGCCGCCCACCGCCCGCACCGGCCGTGGGTTGCCGCCCACCGCCCGCACCGGCCGTAGGTTGCCGCCCATTGCCCGCACCGGCCGTAGGTTGCCGCCCACCGCCCGCACCGGCCGTAGGTTGCCGCCCATGGCCCGCACCGGCCGTAGGTTGCCGCCCATGGCCCGCACCGGCCGTGGGTTGCCGCCCACCGCCCGCACCGGCCGTGGGTCGCCGCCCACCGCCCGCACCGGCCGTGGGTTGCCGCCCACCGCCCGCACCGGCCGTGGATTGCAGTGGAGTGTTCCACATTCAGGGGACAACAGGGGTGTTTTATGTGCGGTGACACGGGTGTTGCTTTCTATTCTTTTGGACCAGAGACGTATAGGAACGGGATTCAGGGACGAGACCCCGAGTGCCAGAAGGACTCTTGTGTCGGCCGGGGACTTAAACAATGAAAGGAAACATGATAACTTATGATGACAGTTTACATTGAGACAATTGAACGGCCCTCTGTCAGTCAGAACCCCCAGTATCAAACGATGGGCCCTCCAACCTAATTCCAGCCACCAGTTCCGCTTCGGCCCATTAACCTAAAGTGAAGAGTATGTGCTAGTTTTTGGACCACCTGCGGCGATCAAAGGTGTGTACAAATCACGGTTCCTTCTTTGACCTGAGGCCAACTTTGCGGGCTAAAAGACCTCCCGCGTCATTGAGCGTACCAATGTCATATGATATATCCCTCTAAGACCTTCCGGATCGACCATGAGGGCTCCGCCCCATGTAGCCGGAAGGCACCCTGCGTGTTGGGATAGAATGGCCATTCAGCCATTCACCGGGACCAATGATGTGCCAGTGTTCTACTCAAGGAACCACTGGCCCGCAAAAAGTAAGGTGTCTCATCAGTGTTAAATGGAGTGGGTCGAAATGACTTCAAAAATAAAAAAATGACAGCCCATGCTTGCCGGAGAACGTTCACCATCGATTAATGAAGCAAATTGCACCGAAGTGTTCTGAGCCTGCGAGATCGCACTCTCAGGAGTGAGAATAGCATTGACCGGGGTCGCCGGCGGCGCACACCTTGCGCAGCGACGGTCGTCGTAAAATAATGCTCCGAAAGTCTTTCAAAATTAATTTGCGCTGCTCAAAGATTGGACTGGGGCATTAGAAAATTAGGCCATCGTCCGGTCGGAGGAACAGCTACAGCGACACGAAAAACAGAAATTCTTCCTCCACTCATTCTGTTCCACCACCAGATTCTCGTCAACCTGTTGGCCGCCGCTCGGCGTAAAATAAACAGTGCCGATGGCTTATTCCTGGTTTAACGCTTGATTTCTTGAGTTAAATGAACTAAAAATTTAAACAGAATTGATCTTGCGGTAGCTTCTGACTTCCGTCCCAGCTATAGAAGGTACAAGTGCTAGTAAACAAAGGAAACCATGCTCTTATTAACAAGTGCGGATTCGGATCTCACAATTTTTGTGCCCTTTTTGAGGGGGGGAAGAGCTTTATCATCAGGGACCATCTCTCAAATTTGCGCTCCCCCTCTTGCCGAGGCCCTGGCTGCGCCCCTGGACACCACCGCAGCCAGGCGGAACCACTCGTCGCTGCGCTCCCTGGCGGCCGCTCCCGTGCGCTACCCAGCCCCCTACCAGCCGGCCAGACCCGCGCCGATGCTGCTTGAAAGGCAGGAGGGCCGCGCTGTCAGCATTGTTCATCACACGTAAGGGCGCGCGCACTCGCCTCCACTTCATTTTTGTTTTATTAGAGCACCAACGTTTGCACTTCTGACCTTGTCAAGGTGGCGGCAAGGCTCCGCGGAGGTTAGCGACGACCTGGTGCTGCCGCTGGCCCACCCCGACACTCGGCTGCCCGCGCTGCAGCAGTACGACGCGCGGGTTATACATGGCTTCTGTGTAGTGTGCTGTTAACTAATTGAGGACGGGTCCGTTTTCCAGTCCAGTACCCACCCATCGTTATGACTCGAAGACAAATCGAAGGCGAATCGCCGGTCTCGGGTAACGCACATTGTTTTCGCTGAGTCACGGCCACGTTTGGTGGGCGTGCCACGAGGGAGTGAGTTTGACTGGGGTCCGCTGCCGCTGGCCAACTAGTATGGTGGTCTGGTTCGAGTGAAGAGGGTGTTGGAAGTTCGAGAAAGCTCTGGCTGGTGCAGCTGAATAACATCCGGGGTGCAGGGAAGCCTGGGACGTCGTCAATAAGGGCACGCTTACTCCAGGAGTCTGGCATGGCTCTTACGATCCCATCATGTTAATGTTTTGGTGCTCAGAACACCAGATGGGACCGGCACTCGTTGATCATCGGCCTTCTCTTCAGTCATCAACTCCTGATCGCTCCCCACGAGTCAGTCGTCGGCCGGACGCCTGCCGACTCATCCCCTCCCGCTCTATACCTTGTTTGGTCGGTGTGAATGACTTGCTCAGCTCTGCACACTAAGCGACAAAAGCAACAGATCGCGAGCGCACTTAAAATTGCGCTTGTGCTTGGATCTGATCGTGAATCCCGCGCTAAAAGACTGAAGCGCCGATGCAAGGACAACAAGCAACTCGGTTTGTGTCTCCGTCATTTGAAGATATTTCATCATGTATGAAATGAGCTCACTCGTAATTATTGGTTTGCTTTTAAGTGTTTAAACTGCTCTATGCTTTAACAAATTCCCGATTAAAATAAGTATGCTGCTCAATATGTCATCGTTTGCTTATGTCATGAAACATTTTTATGACGTTGAGTTGCTGCCAGACTGACCGTGTCAGAATTGCCACTGTAAAGGACGGGCTAACTGCTTTGTGGTAATCCAACCTGCCGAGAGGCTTGTACCAAACCGGGTACACTGGGGCGGGTGTACCAACCGAGCACCACCATGTGCTCATGTTTTGGTCTTTTCTCGTGGTGTTCTTTTATATTTGTCCGTGGTTTTACACTGTCATCTCGCATTCACATGCTCGGGCATGGCGCTAATCTTGTTGTTCGATTCCCAGTCTTACTTCCGTCATGTCTCGCGCCGCGGCCCAACTTCCTGCATTATATAGCACAAAACGTCATTCGTGTTTGAAACTTGCATTGAACGCATTACACCCATGAAAGGTCATTTAAATATTTTTCCTGACCTTAGGTTCCACATGATCAATGAGGTGACAGTATTCGCGTGGTATTTCTATAGCGTCATGCATGCCTAGGTGACCTTGAAATAATTGCACGAAACGGGCTGTACAAGTTAGCGGTCGTCAAGATCAGAAACAAAAGGGTTTTGAGTCTCAAATAGGGCATGACTTTGAACTGCGCTAAGTGATTTTGAAAGTGGCAATCTCAGTTCAAAACCCCATACGGATGCGGAATGCTTGCTTTAATGGATATATCCCATTGCCATAATGAAAGTGCACAGCCGTGCTGCGCAGCACGGGACGACTAAAACCAAAAGCAACGTTCCTGCTGCTGGAGACTGCAACGTATCAAACGCTTTCACATGGGGGAAAACTGCCCGTGCGGCAATTCAAATTGTTGTTTGAACGACCTTGTGCCAAGGTCTTTGAATATCATGTGATTAGCAACATTTCTACTTGTCGATGGACAAGGTTCAATTTAACGTTACAAGATCACATTGGCAATGCTCCTGAAAGCATGTGACAGGTTCAGAGCAGCTTGTCTTTAAATCGCTGAATATTTTCCCAGCAGGTT